ATACATGAAAGTGGGAACGCATAGAAACGAGTCCAACTGAAGTCGGAAGAGGCCATTGTATACTATCATTCATTCTAAGAGAAAACTGTGCCCGGATTTGAACCTTAGTTTCCGGGAGACTAAACATGAAATAGTTCTCGGACTACGAATAAGCATTAGTGGTACTTAGAGGCAGGTGAAAGTCACAGCAATGCCAGACATCTAAGTGCAAGCATACTAAAGTATGAGAAGTTAGTAGCAGACAGGAAAGCAAGTGAAAGTAGTAGGACGCAAACTAGAGAGCGCCCAGAGCCACTACGAAAACCAACCACGGTAGGAGAATAGCACAGTTTTAAGAGAGAAGAAGTACTCTGGGGAGAAGGAATTGAAGTGTTACAGATGTTAAGAGAAGGGACATCGTGCTCGTGCCTATTTGTCCGCTAGCCAATGGCCGCTGACGTAGTACTACGTCATTGTTTGTCCGCTATCCAATAGCCGCCGACGTAGTAATACGTCACTCGTATTCTAATTGCTGTAGCCGGTGACGTAGTAGTACGTTCTTTTACTGAGTAACAGTGCTTGTGCGGTCATCAAAGAGTCAATTTTGAAGTTTTTAATTAATTATATATTGAAATATTGACTATTGAACGTGATTTATAATGGAACAACAGGGTGTTGAGTATAATAATATCTGCAATGATAATAGTGAAGTATATGCAGATATATTATCTGGGAATGAAAATAATATAAGTGAAAGTGATGAGTCAGACATTATTATTAGTAGAAAAGTTTTACCTATTGAAAGTAATTCGGAGAAGAGCGATTCCGATGACGAATTTAACAATGTTACATTTACACTATGGTCCGAAAGTGATATTGATATGGACATAAATGAGTTTTTAGGTAATGATGGTATTAAAGTTTTTCCGAAGGATTCGGAAATTATAGGAGATACAGTAGATTTGTTTATTGGCAATGATTTTTTTGAATTACTTGTAAAGGAGACGAACAGGTACCACTTGCAAAATGTGAATAAATATAAATCTACAAAGAAGATAAAACAATGGGAAGAAGATACCACAATAGACGAAATGAAGAAATTTCTTGCTTTAAATATTTTAATGGGACAGGTGAATAGAGCAACTTGAACGATTATTGGTCTACGAGTTCACTTATAGAGACACCAGTTTTCGGGAAAGTTATGCCTCGAAATAGATTTAGGCAAATTTTACAATCATTACATTTTTGTAATAATGATATAATATTAGAAATTACAGATAGACAAGTCAAAATCAAATCTATAATAAAATATTAATTAAATAAATTTAATACAATTTATAAACCAAAGCAAAATCTTTCATTGGATGAGGCAATGATACCCCATAGAGGTCGTTTGAGTTTCCGGGTGTACAACCCCGGCAAAAAATCGAAGTACGGGATGCTTGTCAGGTTGTTGTGTGAATCTGAAAGTGCTTATATCACAAATTTTAAATTGTATAACGAAAATGGGCAGAAATTACAAAACCTTGTAGAAGATGTTCTAGAGAACTATGCGAATATTTGGCACCACGTTTATATGGACAATTATTATAGCAGTGTGGAACTGGCGGCAAATTTACTAGAGAAAAAAATTAGGGTATGTGGTACTATAAGAGAGAATCGTGGGTTGCCAACGATTTGTAATATACTTTTAATACTTAATACATTTTTAATACTTATATACTTGCTATGAAATGTTTGTGACATATAATTTTATCGATTTTTTATTTAATGATAACTATATACAATATAATAACATTGCAAAAAATCAAAAAAGGTAATAAATTAAAATTAAAATACTTTTTATTGCCGACGTAAATATATGAAAAATATTGAAATCTTAAGTTTTTCATTCATTAAATATATTAGTCAGAAGCTTATACGCCGAATGAAAATAATCAATAACAATAATTATTGTTTTATTCGTCGCGTTGGATTTTTTATTATGACTAATGAATACACTTATATACATAAATAAATTTTGGATTTAATAAATATTTCCATACTTATATACCAGAATTTGTCGAGATGCGCGTAACGACGAGCCTTATGCTTGCTCGTCGCTCTTGCAAAGCTACTTTATATGGGTGTTCGTGTACCGGCAGCGCGCGTACTAGCTTAAGTTTTTCCAACTTTTCACCCAAAGTTCCGCTTAAATTTAAATGAATTTTTGAATAATAGAAGAAAAAATGTACAGGCTTTTGAATGATGCTAATATAAAAGTAGTCCAAAGAGGCACTGGTAGAAAATGGAAAATGAAAATCATTTTCACCTTTTCACGCACTAACAAATAATTTTTTCACATTATTTGTTATGAACAACATAGACGACATCAGTATAAATAAATGGCGTTAACAGTTTTTCGATATCTCTCATATTTCCGACAAAAAGTGAGTTTAAAAAAGGGGCCACTTTCACATGTTTTCACTGATATCTCGGCCAAATGATGAGCTACGGATTTGAAATTTGGTATTTCGAATTTTTAACTTCCCGTAGGGCAAGTTATAGTAATCGCAAAAAAATCGAAAATGAAAATTTTTATATATCTTTACGTTTCAGAGGTTTCTGAACATTTTGGCATACCTAAGAAAAAATGGATGTATGTGTGTGTGTTGTGTGTGTATGTGTATGTATGTATGTATGTATGTGTGTGTATGTATGTGCGGATACAAATTTTCGTCGACGATTTCGGGAACACGGGTCAACCGATTTGAATAATTCAAAAAACATTCGATTCGTATTGATAAGGAGACGTGCTGATTAGTTTTTGGCGAAGGCAGGTCTAGCCGTTCCAAAGATACGGGGCAAAAAGTGCCGAAAACGGTAGCTCAGTTTTGAGAGAACGGAGCGTCCGATTTGAATAATTCAAAAAACATTTCACTTGTATTGACAAGATGAAGAATCGATAAAATTTTCATGAAGTTAGGTCTAGCGGATTCGGAGATATGGAGGAAAAAGTAAAAAATGAGCCATTTGGCGGTCAAAAATGATCATTAGACATATGCTCATAAAATTATCAGATATTTTATAGAGATTTTAACAATAAGTATACATTTGTTAACATTCCTATGGGTTCCGTACCAATGCTTATGCTTTAGACAGCGACGCGGCGCTTACGCGCTTTATATTTTGTCCCTATGCAGTTAAAGCAGTACGATTGATTGCTTTGAAAAGAAAGTTCAGATCTTCCACAATATGTCAAAATAAAAAAAAAAATTTTTTCAAAAAAAAAAAATTAAAAAAAAAAATTTTTTTAAAAAAAATTAATTTTTTGTCCAATTTATAGTTTCTCAAAAATCTTATTTTTTCAAAGTAATTTTTTTTTTCAAAAATGTTAATCGTTTTTAAAAAAATAATAATTTTTGGTACGGGAAGTTCCAGCAATTTGCCTTAAGGCACGACGCCTTAATTGCCTTAAGACAGAATTCCACTTACAGCTAGTCTCCAAAATACCTATAAAATGACATCAAATAATTTAAATACCAGGGTGGGGCCAATTCTGTATGGAAACACGCCCGGACCTTAAATGCTTTAAAATCTTTTGTTGGAGATTGTTATCACAAATTATCGCAGCAAATCGGAACAATGCAAGGGGAGATAATAAAATTACAAGGATTAGTGGCTAATATGGGAACTTACCCCATTGTCATCACATCTGATTAAGAACACGGTCTAGTTATACGATTCAAACATTTGGAAGACTTTCAATCATTTAATGAAAAACAAAAAGTATGAGTCTTTAAACAAATACGTGGTGAGTAAAAAAAATGACATTATCTCACGGAAAACGTTCTTTCAGATCCATAAATTTTTTAGCTGTTAGACAAGGAAGCAGCAATGCATATTTCTGTTAAAAAAGTGTTAGAAAGATTTCTTATAAAAAAGTTTTGAAACATTTCACAGCATCTAGGTCTACATCAAATAAATAAATTAATACTGAAAGACACTGAATTTGCGAAGTGTTTAAACAACGGTATGTATTTTTTTAGGTTATACACAGGTATACACACGATAAACCCCGCGGTCTGAAAAGGTTATAATTATTTTCGTGATTTGGAGAATGGGAGGGATGGATCTTAGGCGTAACAATAAAAATGAAAAAGTCCAAGAAGATCAAAGTTAATAAAATATACCTAATTACCTAAGTACCTTGAAGCAAAATAAAGCTTGCATTTTTTTAAATCAAATAATTAAATGAAATAGTGATTTTTTTCAATTAAAATGGAATTAAAATCGCGCAACTTTTTGAGCTGTTGTATTAGTAATATAACTTCAATAAACAAGCGCAATTGCTTTATTATTCACACCCTCATTGACCTAGCGTAAGGTCGAACAATCTATACGAAACTAGCTGAAGTCCATCGAGGACGCTCGAAATTGAGTTATAAAGGCATATTCTTATCTATTGCACATTGCACGTTGTGTTTTTTGCACATTGACTATCGTAATATACCGCAGGATTACGTTGCCTAGAGAAATATACTTTTTACAGGCTTAGATGTTATGCTTTCACAATTTATTAACTTCCCGAAGGAGAAGTTTATGTTTTCATCAAAAAATCCGAATCGCTAATTTTATGTTTTCTCGACGTTTCAAGCCATTCTGAATCGAATGAGATCAAATTTGGAAAAAGTATGTGTGTGTGTGTGTGTGTGTGAACAGATTTTTTGCCGTAAATCGACGTTTTCTCAAAACGGCTGGACCGATTTCAAAAATTTAAAAGCCATTCGATGTATCTCGATGAGGACTATCGTCTCTCAGTTTTGTGCGGCGATCGGCCGGGCCGTTTCTTTGTAAATTGCAGAAAAGTGAAAAAAAATTTGTCCACGTTTTAGCCCGCAATTCTGAATCGATTCTGAAAATTCAAAAACCATTCGATAGATATTGGTTGGGAATCGTGCTGATTAGTTTTTGGTAAAGATCGGCCGGGCCGTTTTCTGGTTATAACGTTTTTAAAAAAAAAATTTCGACGATTTTTATGATTTTTTTTGACGGTAGATACCATAGTTTTCTAGGTCATACTAAAATATTACGGCCCTACGACAACTCGTTTAGCTTTAAAATTCGTCAAAGTTTGCAAAAATTGGTATAGTTTTTTTGACATTTGTCCAAATTAGACTTTTGATCGACGTTTTCTCAAAAGCGCCTGAACCGATTTCAGAAATTTAAAAGCCATTTGATGTATTTCGGTGAGGACTATCGTTTGTCAGTTTTGTGCGACGATCTGCCAAGCCGTTTCTTTGTAATTTAAAAAAAAGTGTTAAACTTTTGGTCCACATTTAAGCTCATCCTACCGAACCGATTTTAAAAAATCAAACTGTTCGAAAGATATTAGTTGGGAATGATACTGATCAGTTTTAGGTGAAAATCTACCGAGCCGTTTTCCTGTAATTGACTGTTGAAAAAAAATTTAAGCCGATTTTTATGGAATTTTTTTTAGCGATATATACCATGGTCTTATAGAACTTACTGAAATATTACGGCCTTACGACAAATCGTTTGATTTTAAAATTCATCAAAGTTTGAGAAAATGAGTAGCTCTTTTGACATTTGTTAAAATTAAAATTAGACTATTTACTTGGTATAATGATAGAGTACTTGGTCTTGAACATAATAAACCATTAAAGTCCTGAAAACTGGTTCAATTATAAAAATTATTGATTTTTGAAAATTTGCTTTTAGAAAATACTCCGAGTCAAAGTGTTCGTTCGTTTTCAATTATGTGTAATAAATCCACTCGGAATACTTTTAATGACTCATAAATTAATTTATTTTTTATTGATTAAGTCGATTATTTAAATATATCGGGAAGTTCATGTAACTTGCCTCAAGGCTAAATACCAAACCAACTAGTTTCATTATTTTTTTTATATTTATCAATTTCACATGATTTGCTAAAATTGCGATTTTATAATTTCGTGTATTTGTCAAACTTATTTATCTTTTTATACCAACAACAAATTAATCATGAATCAACGAAGTTCAGTTTGGTGGTATCGAAAAAACATCGGTTGATATCGCTGAATGCAATTTTTGCAAGAAACAACTGAAGTGCTGTGGAGGAAGTACTAGCTCAATTCGAAAACATTTTAAGATTATTCATAGTATT